GCTAGATGGTTGTTGTTGCTAGATGGTTGTTGTTAGATGGTGGTTGTTGTTAGATGGTTGTTGTTGGTTGTTGCTAGATGGTGGTTGTTGTTGGTTGTTGCTAGATGGTTGTTGCTAGATGGTTGTTGTTAGATGGTTGTTGCTAGATGGTTGTTGTTGTTGCTAGATGGTTGTTGTTGCTAGATGGCTGTTGTTGTTAGATGGTTGTTGTTAGATGGTTGTTGCTAGATGGTTGTTGTTAGATGGTTGTTGCTAGATGGTTGTTGTTGCTAGATGGTTGTTGTTGCTAGATGGTTGTTGTTGTTAGATGGTGGTCGTTGTTAGATGGTTGTTGTTAGATGGTTGTTGCTAGATGGTTGTTGTTGTTGCTAGATGGTGGTTGTCGCTAGATGGTGGTGGTTGTTAGATGGTGGTGGTTGTTGTTAGATGGTTGTTGTTGTTAGATGGTTGTTGTTAGATGGTTGTTGTTGCTAGATGGTTGTTGTTAGATGGTGGTTGTTGTTAGATGGTTGTTGTTGCTAGATGGTTGTTGTTGCTAGATGGTTGTTGTTGTTAGATGGTTGTTGTTGTTAGATGGTGGTTGTTGTTAGATGGTGGTTGTTGTTAGATGGTGGTTGTTGTTAGATGGTTGTTGTTGGTTGTTGCTAGATGGTGGTTGTTGTTGGTTGTTGCTAGATGGTTGTTGCTAGATGGTTGTTGTTGTTAGATGGTGGTGGTTGTTGTTAGATGGTTGTTGCTAGATGATTGTTGTTGCTAGATGGTTGTTGTTGCTAGATGGTGGTTGTTGCTAGATGGTTGTTGTTGCTAGATGGTTGTTGTTGCTAGATGGTTGTTGTTGTTAGATGGTGGTTGTTGTTAGATGGTGGTTGTTGTTAGATGGTGGTTGTTGTTAGATGGTGGTTGTTGCTAGATGGTTGTTGTTAGATGGTGGTTGTTAGATGGTTGTTGTTGCTAGATGGTTGTTGTTGCTAGATGGTTGTTGCTGTTAGATGGTTGTTGTTGCTAGATGGTTGTTGCTGTTAGATGGTTGTTGTTAGATGGTTGTTGTTAGATGGTTGTTGTTGCTAGATGTTGGTTGTTGTTGCTAGATGGTTGTTGTTAGATGGTGGTTGTTGCTAGATGGTGGTTGTTGTTAGATGGTTGTTGTTAGATGGTGGTTGTTGCTAGATGGTGGTTGTTGTTAGATGGTTGTTGTTAGTTGGTTGTTGTTAGATGGTTGTTGTTGTTAGATGGTTGTTGTTAGATGGTTGTTGTTGTTAGATGGTTGTTGTTAGATGGTGGTTGTTGTTAGATGGTGGTTGTTTCTAGATGGTGGTTGTTGTTAGATGGTGGTTGTTTTTAGATGGTGGTTGCTAGATGGTGGTTGTTGTTGGTTGTTGCTAGATGGTTGTTGTTGCTAGATGGTTGTTGTTGCTAGATGGTTGTTGTTAGATGGTTGTTGCTAGATGGTTGTTGTTGCTAGATGGTTGTTGTTGCTAGATGGTTGTTGTTAGATGGTGGTTGTTGTTAGATGGTTGTTGTTGGTTGTTGCTAGATGGTGGTTGTTGTTGGTTGTTGCTAGATAGTGGTTGTTGTTGGTTGTTGCTAGATGGTTGTTGCTAGATGGTTGTTGTTAGATGGTTGTTGCTAGATGGTTGTTGTTGTTGCTAGATGGTTGTTGTTGCTAGATGGCTGTTGTTGTTAGATGGTTGTTGTTAGATGGTTGTTGCTAGATGGTTGTTGTTAGATGGTTGTTGCTAGATGGTTGTTGTTGCTAGATGGTTGTTGTTGTTAGATGGTGGTCGTTGTTAGATGGTTGTTGTTAGATGGTTGTTGCTAGATGGTTGTTGTTGTTGCTAGATGGTGGTTGTCGCTAGATGGTGGTGGTTGTTAGATGGTGGTGGTTGTTGTTAGATGGTTGTTGTTGTTAGATGGTTGTTGTTAGATGGTTGTTGTTGCTAGATGGTTGTTGTTAGATGGTGGTTGTTGTTAGATGGTTGTTGTTGCTAGATGGTTGTTGTTGCTAGATGGTTGTTGTTGTTAGATGGTTGTTGTTGTTAGATGGTGGTTGTTGTTAGATGGTGGTTGTTGTTAGATGGTTGTTGTTGGTTGTTGCTAGATGGTGGTTGTTGTTGGTTGTTGCTAGATGGTTGTTGCTAGATGGTTGTTGTTGTTAGATGGTGGTGGTTGTTGTTAGATGGTTGTTGCTAGATGATTGTTGTTGCTAGATGGTTGTTGTTGCTAGATGGTGGTTGTTGCTAGATGGTTGTTGTTGCTAGATGGTTGTTGTTGCTAGATGGTTGTTGTTGTTAGATGGTGGTTGTTGTTAGATGGTGGTTGTTGTTAGATGGTGGTTGTTGTTAGATGGTGGTTGTTGCTAGATGGTTGTTGTTAGATGGTGGTTGTTAGATGGTTGTTGTTGCTAGATGGTTGTTGTTGCTAGATGGTTGTTGCTGTTAGATGGTTGTTGTTAGATGGTTGTTGTTAGATGGTTGTTGTTGCTAGATGTTGGTTGTTGTTGCTAGATGGTTGTTGTTAGATGGTGGTTGTTGCTAGATGGTGGTTGTTGTTAGATGGTTGTTGTTAGATGGTGGTTGTTGCTAGATGGTGGTTGTTGTTAGATGGTTGTTGTTAGTTGGTTGTTGTTAGATGGTTGTTGTTGTTAGATGGTTGTTGTTGTTAGATGGTTGTTGTTAGATGGTGGTTGTTGTTAGATGGTGGTTGTTTCTAGATGGTGGTTGTTGTTAGATGGTGGTTGCTAGATGGTGGTTGTTGTTGGTTGTTGCTAGATGGTTGTTGTTGCTAGATGGTTGTTGCTAGATGGTTGTTGTTGCTAGATGGTTGTTGTTGCTAGATGGTTGTTGTTAGATGGTGGTTGTTGTTAGATGATTGTTGTTGCTAGATGGTTGTTGTTAGATGGTTGTTGTTGCTAGATGGTTGTTGCTAGATGGTGGTTGTTGCTAGATGGTGGTTGTTGTTAGATGGTTGTTGTTAGATGGTGGTCGTTGTTAGATGGTTGTTGTTGCTAGATGGTTGTTGCTAGATGGTTGTTGTTAGATGGTTGTTGCTAGATGGTTGTTGTTGTTGCTAGATGGTTGTTGTTGCTAGATGGCTGTTGTTAGATGGTTGTTGTTAGATGGTTGTTGCTAGATGGTTGTTGTTAGATGGTTGTTGCTAGATGGTTGTTGTTGCTAGATGGTTGTTGTTGCTAGATGGTTGTTGTTGTTAGATGGTGGTCGTTGTTAGATGGTTGTTGTTGCTAGATGGGTGTTGTTGGATGGTTGTTGCTAGATGGTTGTTGCTAGATGGTGGTTGTCGCTAGATGGTTGTTGTTGTTAGATGGTTGTTGTCAGATGGTTGTTGTTGTTAGATGGTTGTTGTTGCTAGATGGTTGTTGTTGTTAGATGGTTGTTGTTGGATGGTGGTTGTTGTTGTTAGATGGTTGTTGTTGTTAGATGGTTGTTGCTAGATGGTTGTTGTTGTTAGATGGTTGTTGCTAGATGGTGGTTGTTGTTAGATGGTTGTTGTTGCTAGATGGTTGTTAGATGGTTGTTGTTGCTAGATGGTTGTTGTTAGATGGTGGTTGTTGTTGCTAGATGGTTGTTATTGTTAGATGGTTGTTGTTGTTAGATGGTTGTTGTTGCTAGATGGTTGTTGTTGCTAGATGGTTGTTAGATGGTTGTTGTTGAGAGATGGTTGTTGTTGCAAGATGGTTGTTAGATGGTTGTTGTTAGATGGTTGTTGTTGTTAGATGGTTGTTGTTAGATGGTGGTTGTTGTTAGATGGTTGTTGTTGCTAGATGGTTGTTGTTGCTAGATGGTTGTTGTTGCTAGATGGCTGTTGTTGTTAGATGGTTGTTGTTAGATGGTTGTTGCTAGATGGTTGTTGTTAGATGGTTGTTGTTAGATGGTTGTTGCTAGATGGTGGTTGTTGCTAGATGGTTGTTGTTGCTAGATGGTTGTTGTTGTTAGATGGTTGTTGTTGTTAGATGGTGGTTGTTGTTAGATGGTGGTTGTTGTTAGATGGTGGTTGTTGTTGGTTGCTAGATGGTGGTTGTTGTTAAGATGGTTGTTGTTGTTAGATGGTGGTGGTTGTTGTTGGTTGTTAGATGGTGGTTGTTGTTGGTTGTTAGATGGTGGTTGTTAAGATGGTGGTTGTTGTTGGTGGTTGTTGTTGCTAGATGGTGGTGGGTGGTTGTTGTTGGTGGGTGGTTGTTGTTGGTGGTTGTTGCTAGATGGTGGTGGTTGTTAGATGGTGGTTGTTGTTATTGTTAGATGGTTGTTGTTGGTGGTTGTTGTTGGTGGTTGTTGCTAGATGGTGGTGGGTGGTTTTGCAAACGACGGCCTTCGTCTAACATCCACCGCCGCCACCACCACCAAAACTTCAAACAAAAACCCGACCCACCAACACAACAACAACCACCACCACCATTTAAACACACTCACACACACAAAAGCCCCACTAATATATTTCCGTTACACAGACTGCACGTGCGACCATTCACGCATTATTATTACTATTTTTTTTGTCATATTAACAAAACAAAATTATCATTATTATTTTACCTCAGAAAGCCGCCGCCGACGACGATGGATGACGATGAGCCGATTGCGGGCCCGGGATTCCGTGTTGGCGGTGATTATCGATGGTTGCTGTTGTTGCGTTTTGGTTGTTGGGTTTTGGTTGAAGATGCGAGTCGTGGTGCTGGTGGTGGTGCTGGGGTGTTTGGAGTGTCTAAGCGACTCTTCCCACCCACCCCCCCACACACACTACCACCCACTACCCCCCCCCCCACTACCACCCACTACCACCCACCACCTCCAAGTTCTTTACAAAAAAAAAACCGCGCGGGATTCGTTCGCTCGCTCGCTCCCTCGCGGCCCGATAGACCCGTGGGGGGTGGTGGTGGTGGGGGGGGTATGGGAAGCCGCTCGCCACACCGGGAGATCGTAAGCACGACGCCGCTGCGGAGGAGAAGAATCAACAACAAACCCCCCGGTGAACGCCGCCGTTTTTTTTACCTCAGAATAATTTTTCTTTGAGAGGAAAAAAAATGGTCTTGCTCTCTCTCTCCTCTCCTCCTCTCTCCTCCTCTCGGGAACGCGTCTCGGTGTCGTCTCTCCTCCTCCTCCTCCCTTCTTCTCCTCTTCAGCGGCGGCGTCTTAACGGAGACTCGGAAGATACCTTCCCCCAGCCCCTCAAGCCACCGCCGCCGCCTCCTCCGCCTCCTCCTCCTCCTCAGGGGCGCGGGCGAAACCCTAACATGGCGGACGCGCCACTTCCGGTGGATTGGGAGGGAAAATAAAAAAAAGGCGGCGCGCGCTGTGGTGGCGGCGACGTCACATCCGGAGCGGGCGTTTTGTGGAGTGGGGGGGGGGAGTGGGGGGAGTGGGGTTACGTTCGTACGGGTGGGGGAGGGAGAGGGGGGGTGCCATGTTGGTACGGTGGGGAGGGTGGAGGGGCCATGTTGGTACGGGTGGGGGAGGGTGAGGGGGGGTGCCATGTTGGTACGGTGGGGAGGGGCCATGTTGGTACGGTGGGGAGGGTGGAGGGGCCATGTTGGTACGGGAGGAGGGGGGGAGGCATGTTGGTACGGGGGGGGAGGCATGTTGGTACGGGGGAGGAGGGTGGGCAGGGGGCCATGTTGGTATGGGGGGGGTGGGCGGGGGCCGTGTTGGTACGGGGGGGGGGCCATGTTGGTACGGGGGGGAGAGGGTGGGCCGGGGGGCATGTTGGTATGGGGGGATTGGGGGGGGGCATGTTGATACGGGGGGAGGAGGGTGGGCAGGGGGCCATATTGGTATGGGGGGGCAGGGGCCATGATGGTACAGGGAGGAGGGTGCGGGGGCCATGTTGGTACGGAAGAGGGTTGGGGGCCATGTTGGTACGGGAGGGGGTGGCAAGGGGCCATGTTGGTACGGGAGGGGGGGGCAGGGGGCCATGTTGGTACGGAAGGAGGGTGGGGGGGCCATGTTGGTACGGGGGAGGGTGGGCGGGGGCCATGTGGGTACGGCGGGCGGGGGGGCAAGGGGCCATGTTGGTAAGGGGGAGGAGGGGGAGTGTTGGTAAGAGGCCATGTTGGTACGGGGGTGGGCAGGGGCCATGTTGGTACGGGAGGGGGGGGCAGGGGGCCATGTTGGTACGGAAGGAGGGTGGGGGGCCATGTTTGTACGGGGGAGGGTGGGCGGGGGCCATGTTGGTACGGCGGGGGGGGGGGGGGGGGCAAGGGGCCATGTTGGTAAGGAGGAGGAGGGGGAGGGTTGGCAGGAGGCCATGTTGGTACGGGGGTGGGCAGGAGCCATGTTGGTATGGGGGGGGAGGATGGGGGACATGTTGGTACAGGGGCCATGTTGGTAAGGGGGTCAAGTTGGTGCTAGGGGTGGGGGCCAAGTTGGTGCTAGGGGGGGGGGTCAAGTTGGTGCTAGGTGGGGGCCAAGTTGGTGCTAGGGGTGGGGGTCAAGTTGGTGCTAGGTGGGGGTCAAGTTGGTGCTAGGTGGGGGTCAAGTTGGTGCTGGGGGGGGGGGGCGCAAGGGGCCATGTTGGTAAGGGGGAGGAGGGTTGGCAGGAGGCCATGTTGGTACGGGGGTGGGCAGGGGCCATGTTGGTATGGGGGGAGGGTGGGGGGGGCCATGTTGGTACAGGGGCCATCTAGGTACGGGGGCCATGTTGGTACAGGGGCCATGTTGGTACAGAAGCCATGTTGGTAAGGGGGCCAAGTTGGTGCTAGGGGTGGGGGTCAAGTTGCCGCCTGGGGGTGGGGTTTGTGTCGCGACACAATCAGCAGACTTCACGAGGACGAAAGCGGCGACCCTTGAAGCCTCTCTGTCGTCCTCCGCCGAGGCCGCTTGATGCTGGCCACGGCCGCGAACGCGGTCCGAGGGGTTTCTGCCGTGGTCTGGGTGCCCCCTTCCCCCACCCCCCACAGACACACACACAAAGATCCATTCTGGCGAATTGCCCGATGATGCTGGAAGTATTTACCAGCGAAACGTCGTACTCAAACTGTAAATGTGGATTAACTCTTCAACACACCGGTGGGCTGAAGTAGTGAATTATTTGTCTTTTGTCAACGTGACACTTTTTTTGCTGATTGGCCGTGTCGGGTGGTGGAGGGTTACGACACATTTATAAATAAACGCGATCTAACCCAAAAACCTTTATTATGAATAATATTGGTCGCGAAAGCCTAACGTGTTAAAAAGATCCCCCGTGTAGCCTTAACAGACTGTAGGGGCAAGTGCTGTTAGCGAGCACCTATGAAGGCCGGAACGGCACACGAGGGGGTGGGTGGCCAGCACCACGCCCGACCGCCTTTGTCTCCCCAGTGGCTATGTTTACTACACACCGCACCAGGTACTCATTTGAGGCTGAGTCGACCTAGGGGAGGCCCGGGACCGGTTCAGATAATCCGTCACTGGTGTTGGCCGTGAGCGGGAATCGAACCCGGGTCGCCAGGTTCGTAGCGCAGCGTAGCGCTAACCGCTACAGTATCGCTCCCCACACTCACACGTACACACACACACAGGTACACACACACAGTGACACACACACAGTAACATACAACAACAACCGCCATTCACCACTAAGTGGCGGTGACGTCACCACGACGCTTGTGCCAGGCTATGTGCACCCTGAGGCCACGTGAAGTGTCGAACGCCCGCCGGCAGGTCACGGGGCAGACCCAGCAGGTGCCACGGGTCGACTGACTGAGATGACTGGCTGATGCACCACCTGTGCCCCCCACTGTGCCAACCTGCTGTGCTTTAGCCACCCGGCGCTCCGCTCGTTGTTGTGAGCGTCGCTCCTCCGCCCTCCGTTGTTGTTGTTGGAGGGTGACTGCCTCCAACTGCCCAGTAGCGTCCTTCACGAGCCTCCTCCACAGAGGCCGATCTTGACACCGCTGGTACCGGTCATCAGCTGGTACCAGCCGCTGACTGGTACCAGCGGTGTCACACACACAAAGACACACACACATACACAACAACCGCCATTCACCACTAAGTGGCGGTGACGTCACCACGACGCTTGTGCCAGGCCATGTGCACCTTAAGGCCACGTGAAGTGTCGAACGCCCGCCGGCAGGAGGTCACGGGGCAGACCCAGGTGCCACGGGTTGACTGACTGAGATGACTGGCTGATGCACCACCTGTGCCCCCTACTGTGCCAACCTGCTGTGCTTTAGCCACCCGGCGCTCCGCTCATCCCTTTCCGAAACTTGGGAATTGACGATGCGATCAGAACTTTGATTTTTGATTTAAGGGGCACCACGGTGGCTGGGAGATGTTGACTGCCTCGCCTGGTACGCGAGAGGTCGTGGGTTTGATCCTGACCCTCACATAGCCTGCTGCTGTACATTTGAAGTCTCTCTCTTTCCCCGTGGTGGTCACGTGGATTTTTCTCCGGGTCTTCCACATTCAGAATCATGTGTGTAGAGATATTTGGCCCACAGACTCATCACACAGACCCATAGACTCATCACACAGAGACCCATATACTCATCACACAGAGACCCATAGACTCATCACACGCAGACCCATAGACTCATCACACGCAGACCCATAGACTCATCACACAGAGACCCACAGACTCATCACACAGAGACCCATAGGCTCACCACATAAACCTACAGGCTCACCAGAGACCCATAGACTCACCACACAGAGACCCAGACTCACCACACAGACCCACAGACTCACCACACAGACCCATAGACTCACCACAGAGACCAACAGACTCACCACACAGAGACCCATAGACTCATCACAGAGACCCATAGACTCATCACACACAGACCCATAGACTCATCACACAGAGACCCACAGACTCATCACACAGAGACCCATATACTCATCACACAGAGACCCACAGACTCATCACACAGAGACCCATAGACTCACCACATAGAGACCCATAGGCTCACCACATAAACCCACAGGCTCACCACAGAGACCCATAGACTCACCACACAGAGACCCATAGACTTATCACACAGAGACCCATAGACTCACCACACAGAGACCCAGACTCACCACACAGACCCACAGACTCACCACACAGACCCATAGACTCACCACAGAGACCAACAGACTCAGCACACTGAGACCCATAGACTTATCACACAGAGACCCATAGACTCACCACACAGAGACCCATCACACAGAGACCCACAGACTCGCCACACAGAGATCCATAGACTTATCACACAGAGATCCATAGACTCATCACAGAGACCCATAGACTCATCACACACAGACCCATAGACTCATCACACAGAGACCCACAGACTCATCACACAGAGACCCATATACTCATCACACAGAGACCCACAGACTCATCACACAGAGACCCATAGACTCACCACATAGAGACCCATAGGCTCACCACATAAACCCACAGGCTCACCACAGAGACCCATAGACTCACCACACAGAGACCCACAGACTCACCACACAGACCCATAGACTTATCACACAGAGACCCATAGACTCACCACACAGAGACCCATCACACAGAGACCCAGACTCGCCACACAGAGACCCATAGACTCATCACACAGAGATCCATAGACTCATCACGCAGAGACCCACAGACTCATCACCACACAGGGACCCATAGACTCACAACACAGAGACCCATAGACTCATCACACAGAGACCCATAGACTCACCACACAGAGACCCACAGACTCACCACACACAGAGACCCACAGACTCACCACACAGAGACCCATATACTCACCACACAGAGACCCACAGACTCACCACACAGAGACCCACAGACTCACCACACAGAGACCCACAGACTCACCACACAGAGACCCACAGACTCACACAGAGACCCACAGACTCACCACACAGACCCATAGACTCACCACACAGAGACCCACAGACTCACCACACAGACCCATAGACTCACCACACAGAGACCCACAGACTCACCACACAGACTCACCACACAGAGACCTATAGACTCACCACACAGAGACCCATATACTCACCACACAGAGACCAGAGACCCATAGACTCACCACACAGAGACCCACAGACTCACCACACAGAGACCCACAGACTCACCACAAAAAGACCCACAGACTCACACAGAGACCCACACTCACCACACAGAGACCCACCACACAGAGACCCACAGACTCACCACACAGACCATAGACTCACGACACAGAGACCCACAGACTCACCACACAGAGACCCACAGGCTCACCACACAGAGACCCATAGACTCACCACACAGAGACCCATAGACTCACCACATAGAGACCCATAGGCTCACCACAT